ACCAGTGTCTCCTCCAGAGGAAGCTCTGGCTTCTTTTACGTCTGCCTGGGAAGTGAGTCCTGCTGTCTTTGGCCTCTTAGACAGAGCTTCTGTTACATGCTGCTTCCGATATAAAAGAGTCACTCAGCCGTATCACATAACCAGGAAGTTTAATATCAGCTTTGGAATCATTTGATTACTCTACATAAAAACTCTGTTATTACATCAGTGGGACAAGTTTTGTTTCAGACTGCTCCGGCTGTTTTCTATTATTAGGTGATGTAACCGTTTTCGTGAAAACAAACACAACTGAGTTCAATTTATGTGACTCAATAAGGGTTTGGTGAGAGAAACAGACATTGAACCGACATGTTTCCAGTTACGCTCTCACCTCGTTGACCTGCTGCTTATCCAGGTGAAAGATCTGTCCAGACGACGTGGCAGCGATCTCCTCGTACGCCCTGTAGCCGGGCTGAGAGCGGTCCCCACAGTCCCCGGTCAGCACAAACACAACCTGGGAACGTGGGAGAGTTAAGAGGATTACCACTGTTCAGTGTTTGCTTTCTACGACCTCGCTTTCAGTTGGCTCCAAAGTGACGCTAATGCTCATTGTCGTGCTTCATGTAAAGAGTAGGAGTGTGTCAATTTAAATAACTTTTCTCTGCTCAGCTGAGCGTCAGGGACCTTAATTTGAATGTAGATCTTTCACAGCATGCCACTGTTGATCTTTTGTTAAAGAAAGTGAGAAATGCAGATACTCTAAACGCTGTAGGGAAGAAATCATATTCAAAGTTAACTGAGCCCATTATCATTGTGTTAGAATTAAACATTGCCTACAAATTCATACAAACATGTTTTTATACCATACCATCATATGCTTTTTATCTGTTGTTGTTAAAGAACCACCAGATACCTCAATTGTAGGCGAAACCATTGACATTACAACTTAAATGCCAACATAGGACTGATATAGTAAGTACGTTTCTATCTGTCATCTGTGAGAGCTTCACACCCTGTTAAAGTTTCAAGACTTGTACCTGCGATTGTCGGAGCTGCACCAGCTGCAAGACATCTCTTTTAAGGCGATAGTCTTTTGCTCTGGCGTCAGTGAAGACGTAGATGAAGGATCCAGGTAGTGAAACCTCCAAGGCTTTCTTTATGGCTCCTACACTCATCTCAGGGCAGTCGCCTCCACCCTGGATGACAAAAACAGAAACTCTTGAAATAATTGATCTTTGAATATTATATTCTACACTTTATCCTTTAACCACTGCCATAACTCTGGTTCGAAAAATAGTATCCCATTTAGTAGGCACACTGTTTTTTTGTAAACTGAACATAAAATATCCTAAAGACAAAAATCTTCAAAGAAACATAAAAAAAACTCTTCATATTTTATAAGAAACAAAACAAGATGTCTGTTTGAAATAGATAGTTGACCCCTATGAATAAAAGCATCCATGCACAGTTGGGTGATTTACCCCTTCAGCTTTAAATGGTTTGATGTAAACTGTGGTTTTGATGGCAACTGGCAACTTACAAAGCTGTATGGACTGAATGATACTGAGGCAGAAGACACATTTATAAAAGAATTTGTGTTTTAGTTCCTACCTGGACAAACAGTTCTTGCAGATCCTGTTGGAACTTCTTTGGGTCGGTGGTGATGGACACAGGGCCGATATCTGCGAGTTTGAAAGCAAATCATTTAAGATTAACAACAAAACTTCTGAATCAAGTCACGTCAGCCGCATACGAGATGGTCTTGTTGTTATACTATTGCATATGCCTAAAGATATTCATCTAGACCAAATGAGCTCTTCAGTCTCACTCTAAGGAGTTTCCTCAAACGCTACAATACGACATACATTTTCCTCTCAGGAGTTCAGTTGTGAATAAAGCAAAAGCAACAACAGCATCAAACACTTCGAAGCCACATCCTAATTTATCAGGACCAGATTGATGCCCTGCAGCTTTATGAAATACATGAATATCAATCACACACGCCTCACAAGGAACGGTGCAATTACAGAATCACATTGTTCAGGTTTTGTCTTTTTGCCAAAGTTTTGTGATGACAAAATAATTATTTTCTGAAGCTTTATTCAGCATTTTTCTATTAGTCGATTTTCTTGTGTCCCTAGTAGCAGCAGGAGACCATGCCTTGGTGGATAACAGCCTGTCAAGACCTGACACTTACTTGGATGCCTTTGGGGGTCGATCGGCCAAACAGTAAACATTAACCAATACACAGGGAATGCATTGTTTTACCATGGAACGCTGTTGTCCATAAACACAAGCCTTTCATCATTATAGTTATTATACAGCAGACTTTTATCAGCTCGGGTGGAGCCTCGTGATGTCTGTCTGTGCTTGTTGTTCCTGCCGTCAAATACCATTTTGAAGTATCATTGTGAGACTAATGATACAGAGCTCACAGACATGTGTCAACTGATGACATTTTTAACTCATTCTTCAGTTTTCTTTCCACCAGTTGAGGCTTTCAAGTCCTTGCCTCCTCCTCATGAGAGACTGTAAAACACTGACAGCGCTGTCACGCCTCTTTGTCAGGCGACGCGGCTTCTTTGCAATCCTGGTAATTTACAAGGTCCCCAAGGGCAGGTCACATTAAACACAGACAAAATGTGTGGTGTTAGTGCAACCCACCCCCCCTGGCCGGCTAAACCAGGGGCTGTGAGGGTTTTCCGGAGGGTTGGATGGAGGGGAGGAGAGGGTGGGGTGAGTCAGGGATAGGGGGGTGATTGGGGTAATTACATACAAGCAGACAGCATATGCTTCTCATCAGCGCTCAAACACCCTCCCCCATTAGTGCACTCTTATTTTCAAGCTGCAGCTTTCCCATATAGGAGGTCAGATGCAGGGGAGCCTTACCTGTCCCACTGATTCCTCACTCCTGAAGCTCAAATATTTCCTGCTAAATGTGTTTTTCAGTCACATCAGTTTGAGTTAAATGTCTACTAAACTGTAAATGGCATGTAAAAAAAACCATAGTATATCTGGGGCAATAAACCTGCATGGGTATTGTTTATAATAACACAAAAAGGCTGAAGTCTTCTGGTTGACCTAGACCTGGCAAAACTATCTGAAGTTTTGTCTGATTTTGTTAAATGTTGCAAAAACAGCAACAACAAAAAAAACCTCAATTACATGCATAAATTCACACGTTTTAAAATTCGAGACCAGGACACTCATAAAATTAAAAGTTTCTATTTTGTCAGATCTTTTTTTTAATTTTTTTTTTTAATACAAAGCATGTTAGGTCAAAAAGTACCTGGGTCATGGAAGGGGACCAGGACAAAGTTTTTGATGGGTCTGGTAATGCGGCTGAGGGTCTTTTCCAGGATCCGTGAGGCGCCTTCTATCACCTGTTTCAGATCGTCGTACATGGAGCCGGTAACATCGAACACAAAGGCCAGGGTCGAAGCGCTGTCAGCGGATCCATCATCCTCCTCAGCCCGGGGGTCTGCCAAGAGCCCGTGCGCGCTGATACATATTGCCAAGACTAGGCACTTTAATAAAAAAGTGGTCATTTTTTTTTAAGGATTTACTGCATCTGTCTGCTTGAATGAGGCGAATCAAATAAAAAGAACAACTAGGAAAAAGTTCTTAAAGTTTAGTTTTCAAAGCAGGTTGAAGTCTGGGACTGCTTCCAATCGGTAGAAAAGATATTTGGAACAATGCAGCTAAGCTGAAACACATAAAATAAAATCCAGAGTCAAATACTTCCACAGGAGTACATCCGTGCGTAAAGTTTGGAGGAGCGTGCGGACTGGCTCTATGTTAGAAAGCCCCTTGAGAGCTGGTGCTCTGACGCTTCAAACGGGGGCGGAGATGGGTATTAAAAGGTTCCTGAGACTCGACCTGATTTGTGTGTGTGTGAGAGAGATTTTGTGTACCTCGACCCCACTCTGACTTCCAGCTTTAACCCCCCCCCCCCCCAACCAACCCCTTCACTTCAGTTTTCTCCGTCGTCGAGGTGGGCCCCAGGAGACGCAGTTTTAAACAGCTTTACCAGCGGAGTGTGCAGTCTGTATTTTGGACATGCAGAGAACATTGTCTCAGTAACAGCCTAGTTTTTATAAATAGCCAACGTTTATATTCAGCTGACACCAATCTAATCTTATACATAGCACACGCTGAGAAATATCCCCGTGGCAAATGAATGAGCGGAATACTTTGACATCCCACACCGAAATGTCACGGATCTTTTTTCACTTTGTGGCTGATCTGGGTATCTGTTATTGACTATTAAACACGCACTCTACGGTATTTCTGTCCATGCAAGATCTTTTACGGAGATCAGACATTACAAAATGCCAGACATAGTCTCATGAATCCAAGTAACTCGACTTAATTCTAACTTCTTCATTATTGAAACAAAACGCTTGTCCCTTTGCTGCACTTAGTCCCACATGCTACATTTGAAAATCTCTATCATAGACAAAGTGAATGTGTGATCTTCCCGAAGGATAGAAGTCATCAATAACAAGCTCTGGACCCTCCTGACCTCCTTCTCCTGATATCATTAGAATCTGTCATTGATGAAAAGAAAACGGAGAGCAGGTCTGAGCAGGCCCGGCAGAGAGCAGACAGACTCAGCAGCTTCTACACAAAAGCCACTGAGCTTCATTAACCCACCCATCAATGCCAATAGTTCACAGTTTTCTGTGGTTCATTTCTCATTATTCAGGCTTGGAGTGCAGGCTTACACTACAGAGAGTTGGCATGTAAGATTCTGTGTTTCTAAGGAGGACACATGCTCAACATTTTGTCTTCTAATGCTCAAATATTATAGCCTTTTATTTTGAATGCAAAATATTATGTGAAGTATTGGATTGTTTCAAGAAGTAATTCATTAGGGATTGTACAGATATTAAAACATCATCTGATCACTCCACCTATGCATTGAACAAAGCATCTCTTTATATTATATAAGAACCAGTTCATATAAATTCAAACATTTTCATGCAATTCAAATTCAAAGACTCAAAATAGAGTGCTAGAAAGGTCAGCCACTTAAATGCATTTTATTCTGTGCTCTTCTAGTGTTAATCAACAGGTAAATGACATTTATCATTGATTAAATCATCATTTGCATAAGGCATAAAATCAGTGAAGCTGATGAAACATCTTAATGCTGTAAGTAAAATAGTCCAGGAATGAAAAAATGCAACATCAACACATGCTCTGGTCTCACAAAGGAAAAATACAAATTGCAACAAAGGTGCTCACAAAGCTTTTACAAGCAGAGTTGAAGTCTGTTTGTGACCAGGGCTCTGTGTGTGCTGAGGGCGGAGTACAATGCTCTCAAAAGATAAAATGAGCCTCAATCCAGACGTAAAGCTTTGTGATTACACCCTGTTGCTTGGTCATGTAGTTCAGGATGTGGCTGTGCAACACTTTAAAGACTGGGTGATCGTGCTTATGGGGAAGTAAAAACACAATAGGAAGCAATAATAGAAACATAGTAAAATAATCCATTGAAAACTCCCCGCTCCTTCAACGCTCTTTGTCAAATAAAAAACACCCAGTCTCTCAGGAGAAGGAAACTTCAGAATGTGAGAATAAAACAATCCCACAATAATAATGAAAAATACAGTGCAATACATTTCAACACCTTTGATAAAAAATAAAACTTCATTCCATACTTATGGGAACATTTCCCATAAATGCAGCAAAGCAGAAAATAAATTACCATTATATTTACATGATATTATGTACAGTATACTGCTTTTTTTTTTTTCACTTTAAGTTAGTGTTCATATTATCACCATGTAACACATTTTCCAGATTTTCCCAGGTTCAGAGTCTCTCCATATGGTGAGGATGCAGCACACAGTTCATCGGAGAAGCTCTTCCCAGCATGTGAACAAGGGGGGATTCACTTCCTTGGACTCTCCATGGGGAAATCACAACACTTCCCTTGTAGAAATGTTTGCACAGTCCACAATACTCAAATTTGTACGCAGTGCTACATAGCTGTAGAAGCACAGATAAATGGCGTATAGGATTTAGCTGACATGTTTGAACTCTGCGTACACATCAGAGGATATATTTGTTTACAATCCTTACAGGAAATGTAGACGAACAGCTACTTGACACAGATGCTGTACGGTCGTGCGACAGAAGTTTGCAGTCTTCAAGAGTAGTTAAAAGTGGATCCTCATGTTACAGGTGTGATGGTGCTGGATTACTGTTTAACACGCAGCAGGATGCTTAGTTGGATCCATCTGAGAAGTTGTAACAATGTTCACCAATGAGGAAATGACAGAAAGTGGAGTCACAATAATTTGGTTGTGTTCAGAGCATGCAAAATAATCTGCAAAACAGTACTGCTCTATTAGCAAAATATGTGTTTCATGGGCTTCACAGTTGACAAAACGCTAAGCAGGACGTTTGCAACAATTGGCAGCAGTTGGTGCTTTGCATTAGGCAGTGAGAGAAGAGGCCTGTCTCACTCCTCACACAGCACCACAAGACTATTTGATTGCCAGCACACAAGTGGTCCTTCTGAATAATTCATAGGAACAAACTGCGAGCACAAAAGTGGCTTCTTCACTTTGAGTTTCAGCACACGGACCGAGTTTCCTGTCTTTTATTCTATGCGCTGATGAAATGGGAATAACACAGTATTATCTTGGAGCTGAGGCATGACCCAGGATTGAAAATCACTCAAGCAGAGAAGTATGCAGGTACTCGCTCATTAATACCCCACTCACCTTTCATTCCTACACGAGTCCATCATAGAGTGATAAAGCCTGAACAATAGAGGGGTCTGCCTTTGAACCCTCCTGAAACTCCTGCAGAGTCAGCTTTCCGTCTGCATTCTGAAAGAAGAACACAAGACTCAATGATATGAAACCCTTTCAAGGCTTTAACACAGAGCAACCAGCAGGGGGCAAAAGAGTATCTTCAGCTCAATCATGTTACCTCTCTGTTCTGCTGTTGGACTGAGCTTTGCTTCAGTGCACTTGGATGATAGCCACTCTGCCAATACACATCAAGTGCTGCTGTGCTGAACAGCTAGACTAAATGGCTGATCTTGGCAGTAGTGGGCTGAAAAACACACCCATGTCTCATCTTTCACTAAAGCTGAGGAGATTCTTGGGGCTGAGAGCGGGAATTAGCGCCGTGGGCCAGGGGTGGAGGGGACTATACATGATGTTTATAGACTGTGGTTGGTAAAAATGACGCTGTGATGGCCACAGATAGCAGCTCTAAACTTAACAGTGTCCACGTCAGAGAAGTGAGGGTGGCAACAAAGGCAGATTCAGAAAAGGTTTGGTGTTCAACTGGGGAAAAGAACAGTGTGAGTAGTTGGAAAAAAATCCAAACCTTGTCCATCATTGCAAAGATGCGATCCACTCGCTTTTCTGGTGTGTTTTCCTCTTCTGGCAACTCCACAGTGTTCCCCTGAGATTTATAATCATTATATATATGTACCATTCAGAAAATTTAGATTTATAGGTCTGTAGTTCGATTAGACTTACCACCATCTGATAAATGGCATCTACGATGTTCAACATCTCATCTCGGGTGATGTAGCCATCATTATCAAGGTCGTATAGTTTAAAAGCCCCTATGTAAACAAAGATGTTAAAATATAAGGGTTTTGTTTCGTTTGGTGAGTACCAGTGACATCAGAAAGCTAATGTGACATCAAAATGTTAGGCAATCGCAATCTTTAAAGATCTTGTGTTTCATAAAACAGGCAGCAGCCTTCTAGGGTAGAATCCTAGTTCAAAGAAAACCACAGAAATTATGGATATACATAAATATAACGCATTTTTTTAAAGGTACACATTTACAGCTAAAGCTAAAGTTATTCTAAAGTGTTCGGTTTTCAGAGAAAAGGTTGCAAGTGTATTCGGTTGGGACCCCAGGTTTCAGAGGCCTGCTGTATCTTGCTAATAACCTTCTATTTGCTGCTCTCTAGGAACTCGCCTGTCCTCTTTCATATGCAAGCATAGCAGTCAATCCTACATCCTGTCATTTAAATGTCAAATAATAGAGGAGGGTGCTTACATCTCAACTTCTCATCCAGAGTCCCCCGCGAGGTCACAGAGAGGGCCTGGATGAACTCAGAGAATTCGATGCGTCCATCCTGCAGAGTGACAGAAGGGAGAGAAAGATAAAATGTAAGAGAGGAAATGACCCGGTTAAAAAAAAAGAGCATCTTACTTTACACTCTTGGTTTTACTTTGAAGAGCTCCGTGCTGTTTTTCATGATTTCCTTGTTGTATTTGGCTCAAAATGGGGCCAGACGTTTGCTCCAAGTCAGCTGCTATTTTTGCCCTGCACCTGGCTCTCTCCTGAGGCGGAAATATGTCACCTCTGGTCATTAGTAAGACGGATGCTACTGGGTCATAGTCTAAAAGTTACAGCAAACAACCAACCACTGTGTATTTAGGACAGAGTCGTTTAATATTTCTCCAATGGCTCTCATGCCCATTCTTGGCTCTACATTAAGAATGGGCATGGCATATAATGGTGCCAAAGAAGTGGGAAATGATTCCACTTTAACATTTCAGCTCTCAGCTTTGTTTGAATACCACGCAAATCCTAAAGAGGCTGAGAACTATAAATAACTCCAATAAATGATTGTTTTCTTCAGTGTCTGTTACATAAAAACAATCAATATTAAATGAATTCTCTAAGTAGTCTAAACTCTGCTTATTCATGCAAATTCATCATGTAATGAACTCCAGCCTCAAACCAATGTTTCAGACTTACTTAAATCAAATGGAGACGTTGCATAAAAGAAATGCCATTTACATCCCCAGTAAAGAGAAATCTTGTAGACAACAAGTAAGGCATATAATTCGACTTCCTGGTGGTAGAGCCTTCAGGCTTTGATCAAACAATCTTCTTACGAAATACCTCAGGACTGTGTGTCATCACAAACATTTTCTGAAATTTTGATGCAATGTCTTCTTACCTGCTGTGGGTTCAGCCACAGCTGTAGAAAACAAGACAAGTGCTCTTAAAGGCCTTGGGGTTCAGCTTACTTTATCACCACCAGACATCTGACCAGCCAGACAATGCTGAGGTCATGCTTTGCTGATTACATAAGTCATAAAAACTGTTAAGATCAATGCCTTCTCTAACTATGGGGAGCCTAACACTAATGAAGGTCACAGATAAACATCAGACGAGAGGGGTTTTCTGATCTTCCTGACACAAAGCCTCTTAACTGAAGTCAATAAACCTCCAGGGGCTCACCAACAAACCAAGAATAGTTCTTCTACAGTCCGTCTTCTTGAAGACTATTTGAATAATACTGCATGTCTGAAATAAATTGGATTACTTAAGACTAATGTGTCTAAGAAAGATTTGGCTTTGTTTAATCTTGCATTTTTATCAAATCCTTAAAAAATAGACACATACCTTGAAAAAAACAAAAAACAAACTGGCATCCACTCTTAGAAACAGATTTCTGGCATAAAGCTGAGAGTTCTGATTATGTGTTACTACTGATGCTGTGAATCATCTTCAGTTTTCTGTTCACACAATTTTAGAGGAGGGAATCATCTGTGTTATTAAAAACCTGACTGACAATATTCAGTCAGAGAGAGATTTCAAAAGTGCGCGTGGTGTTTTAAGTGATCACTACTAAATGAAAAATATCAAAGAATTCTGTGTGTTCCTCTTCAACGTTATCAAAAAAGCAATTTCTTGTACTGTATGTTTTGTTTTCATTACTCTTTGGCCCAGACTTTCAATGCATTTCAGTTCTCAAATCAGAAGGGGTTTAAATAAATAACTGGATTCTTAACACAGAACTCAAAAAGGAACACGCACAGAGAGCAACTGGAACAAAACCAGGAGCAAAATCAAAATGATTAATATACAATGTTGCCCTTTTATTCTGTGCAACCCTTCGCTGAAAGCAGATAAGCGCTGTCCTTGGACAATGTCGCCTTTAACACGACTTTCTATCAGCAATCCCGGAAAAAAAGTAAACATTTGATTTCTAATTTTTAAGTCAAAAAACACAGTGAACATTTTTTAATCACAAACCTTATTTTCGTCAAATACGTTGAAGACAAAAGAGGCAAACTTTGTGGGATCTCCAAAAGGAAAGAACTGCTTGTATATCTTCTGAAAGCCCACAGCATCCAGCTGCCCACTGGGACAGTCTTTAATGAAGCCTTTGTACCTGAGAAAGAGAGTACAGATGATTATTCACAGATATCATTTCAAATGTAAAAACAGAACACATCATCAAGACAGGATGAACAATAAAAACACCAAAGCCACCTCCTCACTTCTGCAGCAGCCATTACAGATGCAGTTTAAGAGATTGTGCTGGATCAAGAAGCTGAAGTGCAAAGCTATTTGTCTCATTCACAGATAAGACGATCACCCTAATCCAATAGCAAGCCTAGAGTGGTTAGCTCTAATCAAATTACACTCTAGCCCTCTTTTGATAATATGCGTGGCTGATAGATAAGTCTGAGCGCTTCCTCTGGCCACTGGAAATGACATATCTGGAGAGCGCCTTAATATCTCTATTAGTCTAAATATAGAAGCATCTCATGAGCAATTTCAAGCGCAGTCACTCAAAGGTAGGCGGTTTCCTTGTGTATCTTCACAAAGAGGCACAGCAGCCTCAGAGTCTGTCTACACTGTTACAGGTCAGAGCGCAAGAAGAGAGTGTAAGCCTTGACAAAAATAAATGCCAGATGAAAAGTGGGAGAACGTGGCAATAGAGGGAAAATAATAATACTCTGAAGTTATAAAAAGGATTGCAAAGAGCCTTTGCTTCTGATAACTTCTGACGCAAGTTCACACGAGGGAGCATTGTGTGTTCGTCTCTGATTCAGTTAAGACTGATCAAAACAAGGTGGGGCTGTAATTATGACCACAGAGAAAGAAGACAGAGAGCGAGGAGTATGTGTATGTGTGTCCGTGTCCGTGTGTGTGTGTGTGTGTGTGTGTGTGTGTGTGTCCGTGTGGGTGTGTGTTCTGGTGAAGAATGAAAGGCCAGAACACATCTTTTCCACTCGTCTCTCCTCTTAAAGCCTTCACTTTTAATCTGCCTCTGAGATAATGAATGCAGCTCTGTACAGTAAAAGAGATGGAGAGACGCTTTGAGGAGCAGCTGTAAAAGTTGGACATGAAGAGCGGCGAGAGGAGAGCAGAGCCATGTAATTGTCACTTTTGAATTATCTGGAGATATGCATGAAAAATGAAAGCCTAGCTCCCTATAATGCAGAAGACAACCGAATTGGTATTCAAAGTGCAGAACACACAATGAATATCAAAACCGACCCATTTCACCTGATTTCTTTCATTTTTTTTGTGTGAAAATTGACTAAAGTTCCAGGCAGCCTATAACAGGTGAGCGATACTCTAACATTATGTATAGTGTAGTGTGTTTGCCCTATATGCACACTATATCTTGGAATTGGTCTGTATTTTAGTTAAAACAAATATTTTTGTGTCTCAGGTCTTGCCAATGTGAACAACTTCTGCCCTCCAATGGAAGAATCTCAACATTTACAGCAATACCTTCTATCTGCTAACAAGGTAGTTCAAAAGAGGAGGCTGTTTTGCTCTTAGAGTAACATTTCAGGTTTCTTTTTCAAACATTCCAACCATTTTTTTATTATCACAGACAAATACAAGGTAATCAGTACTTCAATACAGCTTTATCAGTTATCAGAGAAAAATTATTATCAGTCTGTACCATTCTTGATAAGTAACAAGAAACAGCATATACACTGTTTAGACAAATGTACAGCGTGGCTCAGCCAGTTGACCAGGATGAAGCCAAAATATCCCCGTGACAGGCACTCATTGCAAATTGCAACCCGAGTGTGCGCAGTATTGATGTCTACTAATGACAACACACTTTTAACGTCCTGATCAAAGGCCAAAGATCCCTCAGGTGGGAACAGTCCGCAGCAGAACAGTTATGGAAGTTCTATGACTCTTGTGTTTGTATTCATAACATTTTCTCTTGGTGTTTCTGCTGTATTCTGCTAATCCGGTGAACCCAGCGTTAAAGGGAGCTGCATTCGTCAACCAAGCTGTCAGTCATGGCATTCAATACTTTGAATACAATACTACGTTTTATATCATCAAATAACCAATTTAAAAAAATTCCTCTGAAAAAAAGACGACTTAAACACAGTATGGAGTAATAATAACTAGATATCATGTCGAAAATATGAATCCGACGTGCAATTTTATTTTGTAGTTTGACCCATATCCTATCTGTTAACAGAGCGGTGGATCATTCATATACTGTAGCCAGTCAGTAGGGGGAGCTCTAAATCTTTTGATTTGACTTGAGGCAATGCATTCCGCTGTCCATTCTTTGTACAGGCTATAGGAAACTGCTTAGCAGAAATTACTGTAGAAATGTGTTTTTATTAGAAATCAACTTTTATAACTAAAGATTGGTTGTAAAATCAGATCTTGTATCCCACAATGCATGGATTTAAGAATGAATCAATAAGTAACAAATAATCACAATCACATATTTTATAATTATAGCTCTCCAGTAGGGATGTAACGATTCACTCAATTCATGATACGACACGATTTACGATACTGGGTTCACGATACGATTCTCTCACGATTTATTTTACAGAATGAAACTGTAAAAAAATTATGACTGAAAAAGATTTCTTTAGGGGCTGCAAAACCCACTTGTCAGTGTGGTTTGGCCTTTTAATGTTTTTTTTTCTCGCAACAAGGGGAGGTGATGGGAGCTTCTCATTGTGGTGTTGGTTAAATGCTGCATCACGTTTGTTGTGCTATTTGTGTGGTTCCCTGTCTTCTTGCAATATTTGCACACCCTGTCTGTTATCTTCTCACCTCTTTAATTTTCTGTCTTCGGAAAGCCCAAACGCTTCCACACCTCCGATTTAAAAGACGGTGGTGCGTCCTTGATTTCAAAATCTTGCTCTTCAGCTGCCAACCGCCTCTGCTCTACAGCTGCTGACGCTCACGATATTATTGCGATTCCTTTTTCAGAGTACAGATGTGAATCTTGACACCTTTGAATCAATTTTTCACAATTTTACGATTAATCTTTACATCCCTACTCTCCAGTAGCCCTTATTTAGACCCTGTGAAACAGATCTTAATTCTCTAAACCAGTATGCCAAAACTAGAGGCTTTCAAATGGGCATGATGTTATTACCATATTTGTGGTTAGAATGCCCCTTTTATATTTTCTCATCGTGACTAAGGCTTGAATCATGTTTTTAACAGAAAGCCTGTGTTACTGCAGTTATGGTGAAAGACATGGGTATTAAGGAGGAAGATTCAGTCTAATTAAAGAGACTTATGAGTTTCATTATAATTCATGTCAAGGCTAAAAGGATTTCTTGTTTCTATGAGTCACTCAAAGTTATGTAAGTAAAAAACAAATCACCAGAGTACCCCCTTAATAAAACCTTTTTCCATGCTGAGGGCCTGAAAGTTTCTTATCCATAACCATTTCTAAATGGTTGTGTATGAAAATGATAGAGCAGCCAGCTAAATGAGTTGTATGTCATTTTATCAATGAAGTTATTTAACATTTTCAGCAACACAATGGGCAATTTTCAATGTATCCAAATTACGTAAGCAGTACCAGATTGATTGATTTTTATTACACATAGTCTTCTTCCTTTGAAAAACCTGCAACTCTACCACCTACAGCCTGGTTTGAGATTTGGGCAGAGAGGTGGCACTGACAGTAATTTCCTATATCCATGTAACTAGTTTTGCCAATTTCTCTTCCCTTTAGGGATAAAAGAAAGTTCTCAAGTTTTTCACTCAAAGAGGAAAAGTGGACATTAGCACAGATTATGACAGGTTCCTTCCCCTCATAGTCACCAAGAAAGGTATTGGACCGATTTTTCACAAGCAACATGTCTTCAGAACATTCTGACCATGAAATAACTATTTTCAGATGGACAAATGAGAAAAGTTCATTATGTTTGTCACATTTCTCTCTCTATCAGCCACATTCTCCCAAACACCGGCAACACATACCTCCTCTCTCTGTTGGTGCTGTTCTTTGAGAGCTGCTGGCATCTACTAAATGTGTATTTCTTTGCTGAAAAAGCTATTATTGTGTTAGCATTAATCAACTGTTTTAGGAAAGGAAAAGGAGGCCATTCCACTTAGGAGGAGCAATATTTTATTACATCTTTGGCATAGCTTGTAATGCTTCATTTTTTTTTATCTCTCACTTGAGTATGTTATGCTAGTATTAGTTATTATAGCCTTCAGGTGGTAGCTCAAAACAGAGCTGGGGAGTGCACTTCAGAGGTTTGGCAAACTCAGTTCTTTCTAAGATTTGTTTCTTGCCAAACATGTTGTCTTCAGGCCCAACTCTCACTGACTCCAATGAAATCACTTAATCAGATTTCACACAGCTCCCTCTCAAGCCACAGAAGGCTTTGTACAACTTTTCTTCTAATGTGCAGTGGTACTCCCCAAGACCTGAAAACAGACTGATGTGAAAACCCAACGCAAACCCCTTTTTTTAACATTTTGGTGATAGGTCATTTAGCTTTTGAAAAACATCTTTTAAAATTATCGCGGTGTAGCATATGTATCACTTTAAATGGATTATATTATTGTCCATATTATTTTACCATGTTAATCGATTCTGTATGCAACACGTCTATCTCATGACTGTCTTCCGTAGGGGTGGGAATCGAGGGTCAAAGGACAGAAGGTATTGTTTGTTGTAGAGATCATTTAAATCTTATGAACTATTAATAAATCAGTTTTATTTTCTTCCTGTCCGCATGCACTTTGATATTTTTTAAATCAAAGACTCACTGGTGCTTCTGTCTTTTTTCCTTTTCCACATGCTCATAGTCATATTTATTGGCCCATGTAGAGCTAACAACATTTATCATATTACCATTGGGGTTACATAAGCAGACGACAAGGATGAAGTTCATTTACACATTATAAAGACACTGTAGCTGTGTAAACATGTTTGCTCAGTGTCAGAGACATCAGAGTGATAATCAGAATCACCTTCATTTGCCAAGAACATAACATGTCCAAGAAATCTGACTCTGTGACACTGGTGCTAAGACACACATACTGTACACTGTCAGATTGAATGTGAAGCAGTAATAAGGCCACTACGCACTGAACTAGCAGGGATATAGCATGCGTGACATCGTGCATCAGACCACACTGGGCAGCAGCATTAAGAAAAAGTGTTTATCACTGGTACTGGCTCCTACTCCTTGGCATCTACCATGGTGGTTTGCTAAAGACTTGTGCAGGATGTTTCTCTCGTACCTGCCTAGCTGGCAGGGACATCAGTGCGCTATGGCATTAGGGTATTGATTTCAGGTGAGCCTCGAGCATACTAATGATGTACCCTTAGAGGAGAATTAGAAAGGGGAACAAATTCAATGCACAACACAGGCATTTAGCTAACCCTGCTAATTCTTCTGTGTCTCTGCCCGTGCTCTAATTACACGCCATCTGGCATTTCCCCTGGTAAAATTCCCTCTCATCCCTCACACTCACTCGTGTTGATTGCTGCTGATCTTCAAGTGAGGACTCATGCAAACTTTCTTGTGAAAGACAGTGAGAGTAATGATGAGCGAGCTGGCTGCCTAGCCGTAGGCAGTGGGGGTTTAAGGAGGGGGTATTCCACCTCAGTGCACTCAGGCAGCCCCAGAGACAGGCCAGAACAGAGGCTCTGGACCTGTCAATGCCCAGTTTGATCTAATGCTGCTGCTGCTGCTGCTGTGTGGGATTGAATGTACCCTGCTTCCTCCTCTCCCCCTGTAAACCCCTTTAACAGGGTACATGAACAGCGACTAGCAATCGAGTCACAGCTCTTTTCATGCATGCAGAATTAGGTTGTGAAATGCAAAACCAAAGCAGGATAACTGGAGTGTGAACATGGTGGAGCGATCACTTTATTACAGTACTCCCTCTTCTGATATACACTTGTCTTTGTTTTTCATTTCCAAAGAAACAATAGCCCAGAAGCAAAATGCAGAAAACAAAAGGGATGACTACGCTCATGCTTGAATCATCTTTGTAAAAAAGATGCATTGTCTCTTATCCATCACCAGCAGCTATTAAATTGTGCCTTCAGAAATGTTCCCCTTTGCTGTAATGATCACTCCCTCTACAGCTCTGTGACTGTGCCAGCCCCGAGGTGCATCTTTTTCATGAATTTGTTTCCTCTTAAGACATGTATGTACATGTTACAACTACAGGCTACAGCCAGATGATGCTAGAGCAGATCACATTGACTAATAGGTAAGGAATCTAACAGGAAGGATTACTAATCTGCAACCTTGTGGAGGCTTTGTGGACATGTAGTCATTAAGTGTCCGAAATTGAAACAACCTTATGCCCCCGGCATTCTTCTATTGTCAGACATCCCTCTTGCAAACCGAGCAAAAAGGTTGTTGAGGAATGCATCAGAGTTATCAGCCTTCAAAGTCATTCAGTCTCAGTAAGGCTTCAAAGTCATTCTATTTGCAGAGCTTGTCTGGCTTCAGGGCAGTGTAAGGAAGATGGCTTCAATTCAACTATCATACATTTTAATTTCACCGGCCATGAACACAAGAAACAGAATTATGGCCAACATATTCATAGGAGGGTTTTTTCAATTGGGTCAAGATAAGACCCCCTGATTCCTGTAAGCCCGGCTAGTAAAAACACAGTTGCTTATATATGACTAAATTCACAAGAAATGCAAACATTGTGATTAAATATAAATGAAAACACTCACCATTGCTGCACCTCTTTCTCTGTAACTGTAAGAGAAATACAAAATGACAGCTTAGAGGAAAACTTTGGTTGTCCTAGAAAAAAAAGGAACAAGCTGTTGGATACAACAGAGAAGCCAAGAAGTAGCATCGTTACTCATCTTGGCCCAATCCTTTCAAAGTTTCAGTTTCATCCTAATGTTTCATGTTATGTAGATTCTTTGTAATGGATTCAAAATGTGTTGGTTTTAACTGAACTCCAGATATTTAATTAATATATAATATATATATATATATTTCTAAGTTTATAAAGTGCCAAATTTCTCATGTTTGAGTGCAAAAATATGTCAGTGCATCAGACTATTCCAAGTTACTGCTTCCAATGGGAGGCCAGGTTTGTTGTGTTTCTACACCATTTCCTCTCATCGAACCATTGTTTGCATCGGCAATGTGCTTGAAATTTGATCAATCTTTTTATGAAATCAAAAATATTTTCCTGTTGATATTTTCCCCTTCACAAGAGGGGTGTAAATATAAGAGCCCAACAAAGATATCCATGGACTTATATGATTGGGTTCTTTCTTTCCATTATCTACCTGAGGCTTAGATGGAAACAGAGAGAAAGATTTGCTGTGGGAATTTAAAGACATATCTTTAAGAGGATGAATTGTATTGATCTTTTCACTTTGTATTGCCGATATTGAATTGTTGATCATTGCATAGATTTGCTATTCTATATCGATTTATCCTTGCACCCTCAGTTTCAACAGGCTGTAAGTGGGAAACAGACATGTTTAGTTAAGTGCAGAAATCAATTATTCTAGCTTACTATCAGAGGCAATGAATCATAATTTATCCTGGGCTGTATAGTAGAGGACAAGTGGGAGTAAACCCCAGGGAGGCAGAAAAAGACAGACAAGGCTGAGAGATAAATGTCATCCATAGATTTAAGAAACAGAACAGTTTAAAAGGCAGGATGCATTATCATGCCCAGTTGCCCACACTAACATAGCTATCTGCCAGTATCTAATTAATCAATCCCTCATGACTTTGCTTGTCTGGAGTAACAAAAGTAATTTCGACCGCTCAGCCCCTGAAGTGACTAATGAAAACAAGGACTGGAAGGAATCAATAGCATTAGTTCAACCAGGTGGTCCTTAGAGAGAGACATTCTGAATTCATGCTGCTGTGAGGCTAACACTGTACCACTCGTCTGCTGGGCCTGGGGCGAAGGAAAAGCCTTATAAATACAACAGACAGCTAGTTAGTTAAACTGTAATTTCTACTCCTTCAATGTTTAAACTTTAATGTTAGTGATCTTGCAAATACCTTATCGCAATAGCTAACATTTATTTGGGCAGTGGCATGACCAGTGGCCTCTGTGTGTGTGTGTTAGTGTTTGTGTGTGTGTGGGTGGGGGGGTACGATTCAAAATGTTTTACAGGGAGAGAAAATACTCAGATATTGCTTTATTGAAATATGTTTGGAAGATAAATAAATATTGAACACAGGATTAAAAACATGACAATTCATTTTTCATTTCATGGGAACTTTAAAGTTAAAAAAATATACACAGCAGCACTATAAAATATTTAAAGACACTTCAATGTTAGTATTTGAAGTGGATATAATTAGTCAAAATAGAAGGGGTCCTGTATATGAATGCTCTTGATTTGCCTACACTGTACTTAACGGGGAACAGATTTTCACATACTTGATGGTATTTTAATTAACTTTAACCCTCATAGTTACCATTTTGTTCAGTGAGGGAAGGGGACCTGAAAATGTTCCGTCAACCAAGGAAGTGATTATGGAATAAATTTTTTTCAAGATTATTTGTTTGGCTTTCATAAATTTATTAAATAGGACAGGTTGAGAGAGATTGGGGATGACAGAAAAAGTTTGAGAACCACTGTCATCCCCAATCTCTCTCAACCTGTCCTATTTAATACATTTATGAAAGCCAAACAAATAATCTTGAAAAAAATGTCCACAATGCATTTATTCCATAATCACACAGAGGCTATCAATAAGACGCTAGGCCATGAAGTTTTCCTGCTCAGCATTTCACCAAGAAACCCATCATGTGACCCTTTCCTTGGTAATACATGTCATGGTCAATCTCTCGACTGTCAGCCATGCCAAGCAACCATTAAATTGACCTGAAAAGTCAATGTAGTCAGAAATTGAGGCAATTTACCATGGCTATGAGTTAATAAAAAAAAATGTATTACATAACTCAGTCAGAGGCAATGGGTAATAATGCAATCAGCCCATTGCAGGAGAGTGCAGGGCCCACTCAGCCTCTTGGCCCTGCAGGGTCTGCAAGAACACATCCAGCTTGAGCTCTGTCACTGTGAGCCTCTTCATGGCTTTGACAACTTACGAAATCATCATGCTGTTACATGGGCCAGGCCTGCTTCCAGCAGACATTTTGATAGGGCTGTTGGTCTGTCTATTTGATGTCAGAACAGTCGCTTGGAAAAGCATTTCTGGTTGAAAAGATTTCTATTAAAGTACAGGTTAAGCTCCAGCAATTTTGCACAGCTTTCAGGAAGGACACTGGGTGGGAAGCCAGAGTCTTTGCACAGCTTAAAGTTGCCTTTGGTCAGAAAGTGATATTTTAAGGTCCCTGTCATTTTCCCATTAGGAGTCCATCATTCTTATTATGCAACAAAGAAGACGACAGACATCTACATACATTATTTTAAACTAAACAGAAAATATTCCCGACTGGCCCTGTTGGTTGCCAGTCAACACAGAGGGCATAATTTGCTGGGCATAAAAGAACAGCCTTCATAATTCACCACTGAAACCACAAGACACACTGGCATGGAAGTCCCAAATATGTCAAGAACCAAAGGAAAGCATTTACTAAAATTGCAGGCAAAGCATCTCAAGGGGAAGCAAAAGAAAGAGAAAAGCAGAAATGATAGCGCTTCAACAAGGCAACAACAGACCAAGAGAGAATGATCACACAGGGACAGAAAGCTTGATGCCCCTCTCAGCGATGCTAACCAGATAAGATCCTAATTATACTATTCCATTCCCTGCTCAAAGAGGGCAATTAGGGGCGAAAGCTGGAGAGACAGGGCACAGGGTAAGAGAGGAAAGGAGGAAAAGAGAAAGAGAGAGAGAGAGCGAGAGAGAGTGAGTGAGAAAGTGTGTGTGTGTGCGCGTGGTGCGTGTGTTTATGTGTGTGTGTAAAGGACAGCAGCAAGCAGCCCAACCCAGCACGAAGCCCAATCTTCCTCCACAACAATTTCCTGCCACAACAGCTTTCCTTGGCTCTGCTGTGGAGAGACCCACAATACAAATAACACCATCATTAAGCAGCCAATGGATGTCAACTTCCACCCACACCTGCACACTGTACTGCTCAATAATAATAACGCTAGCTCCAGAAATAGCACTCAAATGATTAATATAGTGTCTTCCCAGCAGACATTGTTGCGGTAATTATGAATGTAATTTCTGCTCGAATTGGATTGACAACCTAATAGGGTAATCACTTGGATTTATTTTTGTTTTGATTATCAGAAAACGATCATCCTCATCTTTAAAACCCCAACTTGATAGCCGACACAAACTCAGCATCTCCATATTCATTGATCCCTTCAACATGATTTGAAGATGATGATTACAACTTCTCAGAGACCTTTACTGATCCTGATTTGCTACACAACATTATAAAAATTAGACCAGCAGCTTACCCCTTGCTTTAAGAAGCTAGCATAAAATACCAACACATCTACGCCTATATGGAGCACTGAGGGCGGGAAAAATGTTTAAAAATTGCAGCAATAATTGTATTTTTATTTTTTCAATTAAAAGGCGTGAAGAAAATACTTTGAAGAAGATTTTCTGTCAAAAACAAGCAGAAAGGGAAAAGACCTGACAGTACTTACAGTAGGTTTTCCTTGTCAACTCCTCCACCACCTCTGGCTTGAGCTTGCTGTTTGATTTACCCATGATCTTCAGCTTTCCTCCACACTTCCAAATCCACTATGGCACACAGCACCTGTTACTACCTCCTCTCCAGTCTGCTCCTCTGCCAAAAACACACACAAACGTGGGCCAGTTTAGGTGCAATGACGCCGGTGAAAGAGGAAAAAAAAAACGCTTCTGTTTTGTTTTGAGGGAGAAAAGCAAAGCAAATCCCATTCAGATTTAAAAAGTATGTTGTTGTGTGTAGTTCACTCGTGCTAATGCCATGATCAGCTCAGTCACCAGACCTGACACTCCAGACTGGCTGTTCAAACCCCAGGGGCCCTGTGAAGAAGCATCGATAGGTTGTTGAGTCTATACAATCTCTGTTGAGTGCCTATGTGATGGCCCCGTTTCTTCACAGCAGTCTGTGGGCGAAGAGTGGCGTTTGGATGCGTTGCTACCTTCGTCCTTGGATACAAGAGTCACTCAGTGGCTGGGTTAAGCACGCTCACTCCCTCACAGTCATTCTCTGTTCTCACTCCTCCGACCCCTCCTTTCCTACCACTATCTCTATTGCTCTGGGTAAGTTACAGTCGAAAAGAATCCTCCCTCCTGACAGCTAAGATAAGGAGGTGTGTAAACTAAAATACAATAAACAGACCTCGCCTTGGATGCGCCCTGCTGCACTTTGCTCTCACTCAGTATTAAGTCTAATCCCTGGAATTTATACGTTTGCGAAATATAATATAAAAGGTATGAGTATTAATTTATCGAAAAAAAGATATAAGGTCTTTTCATATGGTTCAAGATGCCAGTTGAAGAGAGAGCTAGTCTTGCCCTTAAAATAAGCTTGTGAGCCTTCTAATGAACATATAGAGGGATTTGAAGATTGATAATTTTCTTTTCTTCTCCATTCTGACTCATAATTCCCACTACTTCCTGGCCTGACAACAGCATGGCACGGTGATTTCCTCATCTCTGTCACAGCAAGACAGGAGATGAGGGATAATGGAATTTATTTTCGTGGCAGGCCTGGCATCGACGTGTACTCGTGCCTAACCACAGCAGCTGTGTGAGCCACAAAATAGGAATATACTGTATGCACCTTCACTGCAAACATCTGTTCCCCGTCTCAATGGCCTGTGATGTCCTTCTGAGGGATGCAACACTGATAATCACCATCTTGTGTTGTTTTCAGACAGTGTTCCTCGGTTTACTGTGAAATAAAAATAGACAGCAGTTACGCAGGGAAAGGCATCACTAGCTTTGTTTAAGAGGTAATGCATTGTTTTATCACCTAAAGCCACTGACATCTGACTAATGGACTGGAAAAACACTCAAAACGACCTTACTTCTGTCTGCCAAAGCTGCTGAATTTAGCCGATAGGCAGTTTGGAGGAAGAGGAGTGTAGTTCATGTAAAGTAAAAAACAAAAAAGGCCAGCTTTAAAAAGCTTATTCGGTATCGGTATGCCACAAAACTATGTAGGCTACTCAGTTCAAGTCTTATGAAAACAGGCAACAAGGTGAATAATTAAACAAACACACACACTCCTGCAGTTTTAATAAATGAATAGCCTATGTAAAACATATGAAAGTGTGCTTAATTTCCTCACATTACTACTTGCCTTGGTAGACAGGAGAAAGAAAAAAGCAGCAGCAGGTGGGATGTTGCTGTGCAGTACCATAGCAACACACAGTTTATGGCTACAGTACGACGGCTTCAGAGCTGGAAGCTTGCTAGTCATTGTAGTCGCGACGCTTCATGCCCACGCTGTTACTTGTAGCTACTTTGTAAAAAAAAAAAAAAAATACCCATAGAACCCCCCTGAAAACGAATAAAGGTTTTTTATTTTTTATTTTTAAATGACTTCGGGATTTACCTGAGCCACAGACGCGGAAATTAGCCGTCCAGACAGTCCAAAGGCAGAGGGACCCTCACCGCTGACCGACGTTGTGTTCCTCCGCCGAGTTCCGGAGCAACCGACTCGCTGCTGCTCTGATGCCGCCGTCAGGGAGTGACGTCGCTGCTGCTGCTGCTGCTGCTGCTGGCCCCAACCAACTCAGTGCCAGAGACACTGACGTCGCGGTACCACTGGTTAAACACTGACTCTTTGTATGCAGTGCGAGGTTTTACACGTGCCATCTCTTATACAGTGAAGTTATCCATCCATCCATCAAGCAGTCTTTATTTGTATAGCGCCAATTCATTAAAAAAAAAGAAGTGCTAAGTCAAGATACTTTACATAAAGCAGGTAAAAGACCTTAAAGGTGCACTATGGAGTTTTGGTAGAGGATTGTGAAAGTTGGAGAAATGTTCAGATTCTGTGGTAAATGTTCATACCTCCATACACAAACTGTCCTCAGAGGAACATTTGGTCATTGGGACACTGTTTGAAGATAAAATGATAAGCAAGTTCACAGTCGTGAAGCTGTAACTCTCCTGGTAGCTTCTTTAGCTCCAAACAGTGTTCCTTGGACCCATTTTTTCCTTAAGCAAAGTTTGTGTATTCAGTTCATAAAATATAGCCCAGCATAGAATTGTTTCACTTTTCCAACTTTCAAATGTCACTATCACATCTAGATGGTGCACCTTTAACAGAGATAAGGGAACAAGCTTAAGAAGACCACACGGTCTTAACAATTTTGAAACAGAGCTAGGCCTATTTCAACATGTTGGCATTCTTATTCTTTCAGATTCTATAAGTCCATCTGAGGGCCAACTAAAATACATAGGTTAACAGTTTGAATAATACTCAACAGCAAGTTAATAGATTATTAGGTTAGTTATCTTTGAAGCCCTTGTGTAGAAATGAAGTAGGTTGAATTCAGGGTGATTGGGACTTACTTTTACATGGGACAGGGTTCATTGTATTGCCTGATGAATGAAACACTTTTTTTTCCTGAGCCCTATCTGCCGGCTAGCAAGAAATGCCTCGTAAAATCCTGCCATACCATTGTAAACTAATACAGTAACCTAGCCGTAAGCAAATATATGATAAAAAATGCTTATAGTAGCCCAAATTAATAATTAAACATGCTGCAATCAGCCAAAGGTTCTGTCCCAATCACCCAAATGTTACCAGAAAAAAAAGTTACATCTTCAGTTTTACAGGGATGTATCATGTGTTTGTTTTTTTATTATTAATTGCAGTAAAACTTGTAGAGAGAAATTCTAAAATCATCCAAATATTCCTAAATTCATGTTATGAGCATGCGACTGTGAGGTCAGAGACCAAGTAAATTGAGGGTTGAGTTTATCCAAACATAGCCCACTATAGTCACTGATTTGGAGAGCACACATTCAGCAAAGAAACCATGTAAGAAGGGGATGTGGGAAACATGCATTTTAAACTGATTGAAAACAAAAACATTAATGTTCTGCAGTCTTTATTGATCGCTTTTTAGGCTACTGCAAAGATGAGCCATTATTTCCCTGCATGTGAGTATCAATTAATCTCATTTGTTGCTCATGTTTGTTACTCATATTAATTGTGCTTGAGTCTTATCTTTGCAGTCAGACCTTTTTATGTGCAGCTTATTAAAATTCTGGTCCCATCAGCCACATGCTGACAGATGTTCAATTACAGGGTTTGTCCGTTAACAACTATCATCCAATAGCCCAAAAGGAGCATACTGCCCATTCATTGGAGGGCTGGATCTAAATGTAGGCTGCATGTGGCTTGGCCATTTTAGTATTCTGTGCCCTTCCCTGCAGTCCCTTATTGCAGTCAACTGCAGTTACAGTTGTCTCAGAGGAACAGAGGGTAAAAGGCTGAGCGCAGGGGAAAAAAGGCCATGGCAATATGTGGTAAATTAATGGGTAATTTCTAATCTTTTTGTGCTGTGGACCTGAGATCAGGTGGGATTGCATAAAGGCTTGATACTTTCTAGATTAGCTTCAACTCCAGCTATGGGGAATGTATTCAAAGACAGAGGGTACACTGACCTCAAAACAACTTGCATTTTACCAATAACCATTTAAGGGAGTGAATGTTACAAAAATAGACTGTTTTCAAGGAAATTAAAGCTGTACTAATTCCCAAAGATTTGTTTCTAGAGACTAAAAGATCCACATTGAAAGTTACCACTACTTCACATGCTTTACTGCTTAATATCTGATGGACATATACATTTGAAAGTGTGATGTTTTCCATCACAGAGCATCAAACACTGACACTCCTTTCTCCATTTAAAAGAAACCACACACCATCATCATTAAATCATCATCTTCAGCAGCACATAGGGGCATCATTAAATACCCCTGCAGTGTCTCTGCATCCCCATGATATGCTGACATTATGATAAAACAGCTGGAAGAAAACCACAATTTGGATAATATCTGTATATTCTGAGGGTTTAGGCATCCTAAGTATTGCATTACAAGCTTGCAAGTTATCATCTCTGACAGGCTGACAATGTGCCATCAACAAAGCATTTCTCTTAATTAGCTGCAAAATCATGTTACAGAAACTCCATTGGTGTGTGGATACATTCCTGTGTTTACAGATTTTCTCACGTTACAACTTAAAGACTGCATTGCTTATACATAAACAAAGCACATAACGGCTGAGAGGAACATCCATATATTCGATAAGCTGATGCTATGAGGCCATTTGGTGGTGATATTCTTTATGTATGACTGCAACTTTGATTCAACATCTGATCCATCACTATGGCAGTTTTATAAATAGTCACATTCCTAATAGAAAAACAGCTTCACTGAGTCAGACATGAAAGATGTGCTAGATTTAACCACCGCCCTCTTGTTGCAGTAACAATTGATAACTTGCAAGATTTTAAAAAAGCACTATGAAGAAAGAGATTGGATTATTAAAGTACTACGTTTGTCAGTTCGTGCTAAGACAGCAAGATTTTAATGCCAGCTACTTCAATTAATACTTAATTACTGTCTTTGAAGCAAAGACAGTTCAAGTCTAGCATCGAAATGCTTAAAACAGTGTCCAAGTGTAATGAGCAGAGACTACGGTGCTACAACAAAGAGGTAGGTCAGTGTTTATAGGTTTTGCACCCATGAATCTTTTACTACAGGGTGACAGATGGAGGGACTCAGACAGAGAAGCAGATGAATGAGAATCCTTTCATGCACAAATCAGAGCGACTCTATAAATGCTTCTCAAAAATGAAACAATGAGAGGTTGAGCTTCACAGAACAAAACTGTTAACCACATTTCTATCCAAAGGGTGGTTACAAGTAACATATAAATTGGAAGGATTCGGGGGACATTAATAATAGAATTTGAAATGTAAAATATGGTAGAAGTTGTAACCAGGAAATCTTAGCACAAATGTTAACTGCAAAGCCAACAGAGGGACAAAGATCATTGTTTTTCCATAACAACTTCCTCCCTCTTCAATAACTGCATCCAAACAACATTTTCCTGAGGCATCATCTGTTGTGCCCACTTCACTACCCCATATGTCTAGATATATATAATTTAGAGCATCATAAATATACAATTCCTCCCCTGCTCTGAACAGCCATGAGGATCCGACAACACTTATCACAGTCTGTTGAAATCCAGCAGGGCGTTGAGGTTTTAGTGGAGCAGCGATGCTGGTGTAATGCCTGTGACACCCAGCTGTTAATTCAGACTGGGAAGCAGGCTGGTATCTGTCTAATGGCAGATGGGGGCTTGAATCCTGGTTTTATGGAGATAAACTGTAACCTCTCAGGAGAGAAGGGGATGGAGAAGAGGTTAAAGAGAGTCATGGGGGCGGTCAGACACTTTTTGCAGGATGGTGAAACAAGGTTCGAGAGTTTATCTGAAAAGTGTTCACTGGTTGTTTCTTGACATTTGTTATTGGCATAGCAGGTGTAGAACAAAATAAGCTGGGCCTGGTTTTACTGTAATGATCCTTGAATGATACTTAGTAATAGTTACCCAAAAAGGCCACAAAATTATTACACATTTTGAATATTATGTGAAAAGTATAATTAATCTGGCCCAGTTTAAGTAGTAAAACGATCTAATCCTAGCCATAACCCAGGGGGTAAAAAAGGTTTTTAATTCCAGTTTTAATGTTTTTTTTTATTGTTTCCTCTGTGAACTTTCTGAATTCCAATTAGGCAATTTGGCTTTAGATATGGTTTTATGACTCTTCTGGACACAATGGAGGTTATTTTGTTGCTCTCTTGTGGAGGAGTGTATGCACTTGTGTTTCCTCATAGCTTCTCTTGTGCATCCTCATAAGATCATGACTGCCCTCTAATGGCTGCAACATGCAACAACAACACTCAAAGATTTTTCTTTTTACAATGAGGATTCAGAAGTGATTGCAGCTGTGAAAGGGATGCATATCAATATCGATAGCATCCAAAGGTTGTATTTGCTTTCTAAATTAAGCATGCAGCTGCCGTCATTGATTTACTGTCATCATCATCTAAATATTTCAAGTAGACCTACAAAATGTCTCAGTGGATTGTGTTAGGTTTGATTGCTCAGAGATGAAAGGTAAAAACTACTAAAAAATTAGTCATTCTACAAAGAAGAACCACAACCAATGAGAGACTTCCTCTTGGTCCCAAACTTTGGAAAAAAAAAAAAAAACCCTGCAAATGATGTGTGTCCTTGGTCAACTTTACCCCGCTGTTTACACAAACACATGTTACTCATACTGCTGGGCTCTGTGCTGCTCCTGAACAGGAGGATAACAGTTTGTCCTGGTGTTAAAAAGCAGAGCAGGTAGACACACACAGGAAGAGACGAGAGGAAACATGGTTTTTATGACTCTGCTCTGTCTGCTCTTACTGTGGCCTGGATGTGCCGCTCTATTGACTTCTCCATTGGACGAGGTAGGTGGAAAAGCTGCGGGTGAAAGGGAGCGCTGTGGTTAGTGATTCCACTGGTCCTGCAAAGTACATTGAACCCTCCAACTTAAAAAACTGTTTATCATCCAAAAACATGACCTGCAGAGAGTCATAACTGTGTGTTACCGCATTTACATGACAATGACTTCAAACAGAAAAGCTCTGAAATAGTTTTGTATTTTAATTTAGTATGTAGGCCACAGATCTATGT